ATCATTGGTTGTTCGGAACAGCAATTTCAATTAAATATATCATATAGCAAACAAACAGTGATATTTAAGAAGTGAAATGAAGTTTATAGGATTTACAGAAAGTGTGCAATAATTACTTAAACAAAAGTAGTATTTAGCTGCAAATGATCGGGGTGCCCAAACTTTTTCATTCCACTGTATATATACAGAAAGTATTCAGACCCCCTTACATTTTTTTCTCTTTGTTATATTGCAGCCATTTGCTAAAATCATTTAAGTTAATTTATTTCCCTCATTAATAAACACAGCACCCCATGTTGACAGAAAAACAGAATTGTTGACATTTTTGCAGATTTATTAAAAAAGAAAAACTGAAATATCACATGGTCATAAATATTTAGACCCTTTGCTCAGTATTTAGTAGAAGCACTCTTTTGAGCTAATACAGCCAGAGTCTTTTTGGGAATGATGCAACAAGTTTTTCACACCTGGATTTGGGGATCCTCTGCCATTCCTCCTTGCAGATCCTCTCCAGTTCTGTCAGGTTGGATGGTGAACGTTGGTGGACAGCCATTTTTAGGTCTCTATAGAGATGCTCAGTTGGGTTTAAGTCAGGGCTCTGGCTGGGTCCCTCCAGCTGAAAAACATCCCCACAGCATGACGCTGCCACCACCATGCTTCACTGTTGGGACTGTATTGGACAGGTGATGAGCAATGCCTGGCTTTCTCCACACATACCGGTTAGAATTAAAGCCAAAAAGTTCTATCTTGGGCTCATCAGACCATAGAATCTTATTTCTCATAGTCTTGGAGTCCTTCAGGTGTTGTTTAGCAAACTCCATGCAGGCTTTCATGTGTCTTGCACTGAGGAGAGGCTTCTGTCGGGCCACTCTGCCATAAAGCCCCGACTAGTGGAGGGCTGCAGTGGTGGTTGACTTTCTACAACTTTCTCCCATCTACTGACTGCATCTCTGGAGCTCAGCGACAGTGATCTTTGGGTTCTTCTTTACCTCTCTCACCAAGGCTCTTCTCCCCCAATTGCTCAGTTTGGCCAGATGGCCAGCTCTAGGAAGGGTTCTGGTCATCCCAAATGTCTTCCATTTAAGGATTATGGAGGCCACTGTGCTCTTAGGAACCTTAAGTGCAGCAGACAATTTTTTGGAACCTTGGCCAGATCTGTGCCTTGCCACAATTCTGTCTCTGAGCTCTTCAGGCAGTTCCGTTGACCTCATGATTCTCATTTGCTCTGACATGCATTGTGAGCTGTAAGGTCTTATATAGACAGCTGTGTGGCTTTCCTAATCAAGTCCAATCAGTATAATCAAACACAGCTGGACTCCAAACCATCTCAAGGATGATCAGAAGAAATGGAGAGCACCTGAGTTAGTGTGTCACAGCAAAGGGTCTGAATACTTATGACCATGAGATTTTTCAGTTTTTCTTAAGGGGAAAACTGTCCGTACCCACTGTTTATATAGGTAAACAGTAACCTAAGTTCCTAAGAACTTCTTCACAATGTATTTCTTTATTTACACATGCACATGCGCTGTCAATCCACTGGATAGCGCCATTGTGCTGCTTTTTGTACAGATTTTAGAGACTATATTATTTTAGCTCAAATTCATTTGTTAGTTTCAGTTTTAGATTAACATATTATATACATTAAACACATTTTAATATATTTCCATTTTATGTAGTAATTATTTTCGATGTAATCTATCTCTAAATGTGACACTTATTCAGCTACAAGAAAGTAAATCTTTCATCAGTGCAGTAATTATTCCAGTGCTTAATTAATTTTGTTTTGGTTTCAGTACCTGTGTACCTCCGTGTTGCAGTATCAGAGTACGAGTGCACGCAGGGAGCACACACTTGTAAAGCCAACCGTCCTGAGAGCCGTCCGTCCACAAATCACTGTTATGAACAGAAGCATTCCTCTGTCCTCTGGGGTATATAAGGCTTCATTTGGTTTGCCTCCATGATATATGTCGAGGGCAAGAAGTCATTTAGCTTTCAATTTATTAGCCTGCTGATTTATGCCAGGCTGCAGAGGCAGTAGTGGTGTCTCTGAGCTCCCTCCCCCGCTCTGTCGTCCTCCCTTCTTCTGGATTGGACGCTAATAATTTGGTAATAGATGATGTGAAAGCAGAGAAAGTTCAGCACTTTGAGGAGTCAGATGAAAAAAAATGTCCAGGATTTCCAATTACTCCCCGTTGGTAATTTAGTCCAATTCAGGGAAATAGTGATGGATGTCCCCCGCGATTGGATGTTGGAAAAATCACGTTGGATTTTCAATTGATTTCAAATGTCTTTGTCTCTGTACACATTTTTATCCATCACTTGTTCGGGCTCAGCTTTCCAGTGGGCCCACCACCTGCAGGAAGGCCCACAAGGGGCCGGTGCCTTGTGATTTGGGTGGGGCAAAAGAGCCTGAGATCGTGCGGGAGGTTGAGCGATACCGACTAGATATAGTCGGGCTCACCTCCACGCACAGTCTGGGCTCTGGGCCCTTACTTATCTTACTTATAGCTCCCCAACTTGCCAGTCATGTGTTGGAGTTCTCCCCACTGAACGAGAGGGTCGCTTCCCTGCGCCTTCGGGTCAGGGATAGGTGTCTCACTGTTGTTTCGGCCTACGGGCCGAATAGCAGTGTAGAATACCCGGCCTTCTTGCAGACACTGGGAGGGGTACTGGACAGTGCTCCTCCCGGGGATTCCATCGTCCTGTTG